CCCCTTGTCGTTCAGAGCTGGAAATCCTGTGCGAAACGATGAACAGCATTGGTCTGAAGGAATACATGATAACGCATCTCTCAGATATAAATGGACTGCGTGAACAAGTCCCTAAGGCATTGAAACTCTCGCCCAATCCTGCTAGGCTTGTATTGGAATGTATTAACAAGGGGGGAAGCGAAAGGTATGTTAATAGCTCAAGATCATTAGCTTCTGTATTGGCTTTGGAGTGCTTGTTGTTAGCTGCTGTTGAGAATGACAAAGGGGCCAAGGAAGACGCGGAGCAGGCAGCTTTAGCATGGCGGGAGAGAATGATTTACCAAGGAGGTGTAATAAAGGCTCACAAAATGGATGCCCGAGGTTTGTTGTTGCTCATTGGGTGTTTCGGGATTCCACAAGCATTTACAAATCTTGATATCAGATATTTGGTTACGGTTAGTGATGCCTGGGTGATTTCTGGTGCCCTCAGGAGATCAAGTGTTCTCATGGAAAAGATCCCAGAAATAATTGAGTGGATGTTGAGGCAAAATATAGTAGTTGAGGCCGTTGACATTGCCTATACTTTTGGAATGGAGGAGAGATTTAACCCTCGTAGACACTTGACATCATTTTTACATAACTCTGAAGTGTCATTATTGAACAAAACTAAGGGACTTGAGCAAGGTATTACTGTGCGTTCAGTTAAAAAGAAGCACTTGTCTCATCTGAAATCTGTCAGCGAATGTTTGGGACACCACAAGATTGATCCTACGAAACTCCTTCCTGGGTGGCAAATCGACATGAGAATAATGAACTCGGAGAAAGAAATTGCTGAGTTGAATAGGCATATAGGTGAGAAAGAACTTGCTGAATTGACTATGCGTATAGGTGATCAGAAGATGGCACAAAAGAGAAAAAATGATGAGATTGAGTCGTCGTCTTCTGGTAGTTTCAGCAACAAAGAAATGAGACACTCACATTTTCCGAATCCAAATCCATGGCCACCACAACAACAAAGAGTTGTTAATAATGTTGGTGATAGCAATAACACCTTATTAGGAGGTGGTGGAACTGCTGGCCACATTTATGGTTATTCTCTATCCTCATCGGTATTGCATGGAACTGTTGCAGGCTCAATACACGAAAATGTTGTTGGCTCACTGGCAGGACCCGTGGGAGGTGTTGCGGCCATGGATGGCGCTGGTGCAGGTAAATCAGTGCAAGGAGGTTCAGGTGTTGATCATACACCCGGGCAAATAGGAAGTCATATTGGTCAGTTATATGGATCGCGTGGTGATGCAGCCGTGTATGACAAACTAGCCTCCCACAGCTATGCTTATAGGCCATCATCCTACTTGGAAGGCTCAAGCTCTACGGGATTGCCAAGCACCACACCCGGCGATGCTTATTGGCCAACGCCATACACGGAAAGCTCTAAGGCGTTTCCAAACACCATATCTGGTGATGCCAATAGGCCACCACCATACTTGGGAGGCTCTGCGGGGTTGCCAAACACCATAGCTGGTGACGCTTACAGGCCTCCACCATACTTGGAAGGCTCTATAGGGTTGCCAAACACCATACCTGCACCATATCAGTTTGCTGATACTGTTCCAGCAACTGAACTACACCGAAGCAGTGGCTCACGAGCAGATCATGTCCCATCTGCTGCAGTTGCTCATCCTTCATCCTACTTGTACTTGAAGAGATAGTTTTGTGTCAGGCAGGCATTACTTTCTTACCTTAGTTTCCCTTCTTGTAGTATAGCCAGCTTAGAAGTGATTTTGTGCAGTCTTTTTTTTTTTTTTTTTAATTTATATTTCATATGATTTCTTTGCTGATACTAATATTGTCTCCTTTTGTTTTTTTGTTTTCTTGAGCCGATGGTCTTTCATAAACAACCTCTCTACTCCTTCGGGTAGGGGTAAGGTCTGCGTACACACTACCCTCGCCAGACCCCAGTAGTAGGATTTTACTGGGTTGTTGTTGTTGAGCTACTAAAAATCTCTGGCCAGTGTTCAAGGCTTAGCATAATGACGTCTCAATTCAACTTGGAAAAATGTCATGTCTGGAAAGATCTAAAACTTACAATATAAAAAACCAGACAAAAGCAAATAACTGATTAACTTCCCTTTACTTTCTCCTCCATTTCGTTTTCCTCTCTTCCACCAAACATGATCTTTTAACATTTCTTTGCTTTTACTTTCCCTCGTCCAGTCAAGGTGGTCACACTGGTTCCTTGGAAAATCCAAGGTCATGGATTCGATTCCTCAAACATGCATCTTCCTCTTTTTCCAAGTGCGACATTCTTGTTTTTTCTACCGAGATGAAATTAAATGGAAAACATGGTTAGTGAGGATTCATATAGCCGACCTCACTTTGTTGGGACTGAGTTGTACAACAGTTGTACTTGTTGTTTGTTGTTTTGATGTCAATTGTTGACAGTCTATGTGGGCATGCACACTTGTATATCCTGTGTGACAATGCACGGGAGAAAAGTCTATTATTAATTGATATTCTATGTTACAATAAACCCTATTTATATGTATACATAACACATAACCTACTCCTATTACATAAGGGACTAAGACTAGTTACATATATTCACATAACTATTCTAACACTCCCCCTCAAGCTGGTGATATGAATCATATATACCGAGCTTGTTACATATGTAGTTAATACGAGGACCAATGAAGGACTTGGTGAAAATATCTGCAAGTTGATCATTCGACTTCACAAACTTTATAGCAATATCTCCCGGGAGTATCTTTTATCCAACAAAGTGACAGTCAATCTCAATGTGTTTTGTTCTCTCATGGAACACTGGATTTGACGCAATATGAAGAGCAACTTGATTATCACACACAAGTCTCATCTGACTAATCTCACCAAATTTCAACTTCTTGAGCAACTGTTTGATCCAAATTAGCTCACATGTCGCCATAGCCATTGGTCGATATTTTGTTTCTACACTAGACCGAGCAACCACATTCTGTTTCTTACTCTTCCAAGACACCAAATTTCCTCCTACTAAGACACAATATCCAGACGTGGAACGTCTATCAGAAGGTGATCCTGCCCAATCAACATCTGAGTATCCAACGATCTGCTCATGGCCTCGATCCTCAAACAACAAACCTTTGCCTGGAGAATGCACGGGAGAAATATCTATTATTAATTGATATTCTATGTTACAATGAGTCCTATTTATATGTATACATAACACATAAACTACTCCTATTACATAAGGGACTAAGACTAATTACATATATTCTCTCCATTCATATTGGTAAATGTTGGATTTGCATCTTTTTAGCTGCTCCTTTGGTGGTATAAAATTATATTTTCTTGTATTTTGTTTTCAATGTGTTGAACTTCTTGATTTTCTTGTATGGATTGTCTGCACAAGGTTGTAATTTATTGCTTGCTGCGAAATGTCTGATCTTTGGCCATTGAGCTATTCAGCCTGAGAATCTGAGCACGATTCTCATATTTATTGTCTAGAAGATACTTTTTGTAGTTGACCTTCAACTTATGAGCCAATCCTTTTGCCTTGGGATTTGGGAATTAAATTTTTATCTGTGTTTCTTTGCTTAACTAGGTGGTTGCGTGTGTTATATTCTATTGCTGTGGATGTAGAATGGCTGAATATGTAGAATGGTTGTGATGTAGAACGGTTAAAGGTGGTTGAGTGTGTTATACTCAATGTTGTTATTCTAACTTTGCTTCTTAGTTTCTGTGTTGCAGATACACATTATCTGGAAATCATATTTAGGGGTCGTTTGGTAGGATGCATTAGATAAAATAATGCATGCATTAACTTTGTGTATTCATAATACCTTGTTTGGTACACTTTTTGAACCTATGCATTAGTTATACACCCTATTTGGTGTTATCCTATGCATAATTAATGCATAAGAAACCATAGTATTAACATTGCAATGGGGTTTAATGCATACATTAGCTTAGTTAAAGATAACATTGTCCTTCAAAATTTATGCTTGATTAAAATATGCTATTATATTAATGCAAGTTTCAAATAATCCAAGAAAGTGGAAAATAAAATTATATCCCTAGTAAATAAATATATAAATAAATACTTAGCATATTTTCTTTTTTATAAATAAATATCTTGTTATATACTACAATATAGGTAGACAAATCAAATTATTTTTTTAAAATCTTTTTCATATAAAAGCATTCCTCAACATATGTCTCTTTTAAAAAGATAAAGTGATGGACTGGTTATGAGGGTATTTTTGTAAACAAATAATTTTTTTAGAAATTGTGCAATGCTTTAATACATCAAACGAAATGGATAAGAAATATGTCAGCATAACTAATGCAAGCATAACTAATACCATCAGTACTAATACACCCTATTTAGCATTATTCTTATACACCCTGCCAAACGACCCCTTATAATTTGTTTTTGGTTTTGTATTTCATACTGGAGGTAGAGTTTGACTTCATTAACATGTGTCAGTTTTTTTCTATGCAGTCCAGCTGTTGCAATGCATACAACATCTTTATTGCTCCTGAAGTCAAAATCTTTCTTAGTCATAAAAGCACCTTTTTATTTCCTGGTGGTTACAGAGGGAAGCTTCACCTGTGTGAGCTTGCTCACATTGACTGTTCCTAAGTAGACAACCAGCAAACTAGTCAATATGGTGAATCCTCACATTACAATATAAGACAGGCTAAAATGTATCGACATGGACATTGAGAATTTACATAGCCGATCTCAACTTGCCAGGGGTTGAAGTGTAGTTGTTTGTTAGTTACAGGGGGAATTGATGGGCAAAACCTTGGCCTGAAGTGTTGAAAAGCAATCTTTGACCTCAGGATTGTCCATAAACTATACCCTTGACCATCAAGCCCACCCTTTGTGATCGTACACATTCCCACTAGTAAAAATAATGTGTAGAAATCTATTCCTGTTGGTTAATTGGTTTTGGATTTTGTAGAGAAGACAGGCAAACTATATTAAATTGATGCACTATTAGATTTTTAATGGAAGTGATTGTGCTCTGTGATATTTCCTGGTTTACTCAATGGCTGGACTCTTGATAATGAATCTTATGATAAGGAGGGTAGTTACTTAAATGGCTTGACTAGAAAGCTTCTTGCTTGTTAGAATGTTATTTGTTACTTATATAGTACTATCTTGTTGGTAATTTATTTTTTTGATAATCTATTATCTCGTTTAGTAATATATTTAATTTCTACAAAATTCGGTGCTTCTTGCGTGAGTTTAGCATATTTGTTGGACCTTTTTTTTTTCCTTATCTGGTTAATGTATTGTCTGGTTTGCTAAGATCAAGAATAGTAGGTTTAGCTTGTTAGACATTTGACATTTATTATTTTTCAGTTGAGGATAAGGCAGCAGCGTGTATTTGGCATTTGATTTTTAATTTTTTTATTAATTCAGGGGAGGGGGTAAGGGAAAGTGCTACTGATGTTCATTTCTTTTCTTTTCTTTCTTTTGAGGGGTGGGGGTTCCTACTGGATTGGTTGTACACCAGTGTGTATAAATCATTTTCATCTGAATGATTCAGGTTACTAATAGGGAAAGAAATTGCGGGTGATGGTGTGATTTAAAAATCCCTTACTTATTTATTCTGTTATTGGTACGATTGATGGAACCATCATTCAAACACCAGTGTATTTATTTGATTGTCTCTATCGCTCTATTGTTAACCAGGATAACGAGTATATTAAATTTATTAATCAATTGAATAAATTTGGCATGTCACGTGTTTGTATAATATATTCCTCATTCCGTGCTGTGAAGCAGTTTTCGTTACTATTTGTTGTGTATTCGTTGGTCACCATTGATGGTTGGTTGGCGCAAATATGAATGAGAGTCTGGTTCCTTCCTTTGGTAAGTACCAATAAATACATAGTCTTCACGTGTGTGTATTTTATCGGTATTTCTCGCTTCATGCGGTGCTACAATTTTCCTGTAACATTTGTTGTTTATTTGGTGTTTCAGGTACTAAAAGTCGCTGTCTGTTGGTTAGCAGTTTATGTTTGTTGGAAAAAATACGCATGAGAGAATTCGGGTTCCTTTATATATATGGTAAAAATCAATATATTTCATCGTGCACCCGCCTCTACTCTTTATAGTTGTGTGTTGAATATACAGATCATAGAATGCCACCATTGATTTTCGTTGTGGCAAATCCATGGCATTTCAAAAGTCCTTTTTTGCAGCGATGTATTGGGTGTAATATGATAAATCTTGACTGCTTGTTTCTCCCCCACTTTTTTTTTGGTAATGGCAATGCGTGCCAATGTGCAAGGCCTTGCTCTCTTGCTTTGTCTCCCTCCGTCTGTTTTCAGGTTTGTAATAACATAGAGGATCAGAACTATCATAAATCTTATCTTCGACAACTCTAGTATAACTTCTTATTGGGTTTCCTGACCATTATCTAGTACTTCATGATCTGGCCCTCACTGAAATACTATATTCTTGGTTTATATAGTGATTCATGGGAGTATATTTGAGATTCTCACCAGATTTGATTTGGCAAAAAGCCAACAATTGTTCAGAGCTTGATCAAATGTTATTTGATGTAAATATCCCTGCAGCTTCTGAAGTTACCTGAGATTCCAACTTTTCTATTGAAGAGCCAAGTTGGTTTACCAAGGGCAAAACTGCCATTTAGGTCAGTGATGTGCTTTTTCCCCCTGTTTTATCTCCATTTCACTCCTACGGCCTACCTATCTATCTCTTTCACCAGCTTCACTGAACGGCCACCTAGACCTTTCGTTTACGGTATGTCTAGTATTTTCTTTGTTACTTGTCATTTTGCTATCGATCTTTTCTCTGGTATTCAATTTTGTTCAAGTTGGGCTAAAGTCTAAACCAGCCCATAGATACTGTTACATAGATATTGTCCCCTTTGGCTAAGCTCAAAGAGAGTATAGACACCATGTAAGAGTATCTTACATTCCAATAGGCTCCCAATCATTCCAGCTACCAATGTGGGACGTTGTTCGCACACCCAACAATCTTTCCCTCAAGCTTAGTTCCACTTGGCCTATTGCCACAATCTACGGACCAATTTTCAAGATTCACTGTGTGCCACTCACATTGTTAGACTATTATGGCAAGTGAAGCCCGCAACTAACTTCTTCTTGTGTGTGCGTCTCCAAGCTTGTAAGGTTAAGTAGATCGAGCCCCACACCATCACTTCGCCATCGCCATATTAGCCCCGTCAAACTTGGGCTCTAATACTAATTGTTGGGATCAACCATCTCGAACATACTTCCAAATGGTGTAATATTATCCGTATTGGGTCAAGTCCACACGATTTTTCCCCATAAGTCCTTACACCACTAAGAGGTCCCTACACCTTATATGTAGGCTCCTAATCTTTTCAGCTACCAATGTGGGACTTTGTTCGCATACCCAACAATCTCTCCGAACTAGGTTCCACGTCCCATCACGACCCACAAGTCTCCCACGAGATTCACTGTGTGCCACCCACATCGTCAAAGTACTATGGCAACCGAAGCCTGCAACTAGCTTTTTCTTGTGTGTGCATCTCCAAACTTGTAATGGTAAAGCAAATCGAGCCCCTCACCATCACTTTGCCATCCCCATGTTCGTCTCGCCGAACTTGGGCTCTGTACCAGATGTTGGGCTTAATCAACCCGCATATAGTTTTAACATGGTGTGATATTATCTGCTTTGGGCCAAACCCGCATGATTTTCTCAATCTGACAAGGACGATAATTTTTTTTTTTCAAATCTATTAGAACAATGGGTTTTCCAAACCGATAGGGATTATGAATTTTCTAAAAATAAAAATACAAGAAAATAATTCAAGCCGTAAATAATAAATCTTCCTCTTGACTTGAATTTCTCTTCGTCAATAGGAACAACGTCTCTCTGCCTTGCCCTCAACCCTCGCAAGGGCTCTACCCATTACTCCACACATCACTCTAAGGGGTCGTTTGGTAGGAGGTATAAGAATAGTGCTGAATAGAGTGTATTAGAAATGCTGGTATTAGTTATGGTGATATTATTTTTTATTCATTGTTTGGTTTGGTGTATTAAAGCATAGCATAATTTTTTAAAAATTAGGTGTTTACAAAAGTACCCTCCATAATTTTTAACTTTAGCTATAAAAATTAACTTTATACATAACAGAACAAGAAAGGCTGAGGCTTTTTAAGTGATCCATGAACTTATATGGATCAATACCAAAATAATAATGCAAAAATAAATAAATTAGTACTATCAAAGAATCAAGTTATAACAAGTTTACTTTTTTTTTTTTTTTTTTACAAAGGGCAAACCGATAAAATTGATAGTTGATAGTCCAACCAAAATTGAAGATTTACAGGTTCCATGGTGAATCATGGCACCTGCATTTCCCAATTCCAAGCTTGGTAGCATTCTAACTAACCTAAGATTAAGATATTAAATTACTTCATGTAAGGAAAAATTCATATCACATAACCAAAACAAAGTTGATAAAGTTGATAGCAACACCCTTCCTTCCAAAATGTCCACATAACAAGTTTACTTTTGATGCTCCCTATGTTGCTCAATGAAGTGAATTTAGGTAAAGTTATGACGTTATTCAAAATTAGATGTTTCACACTCTTGGGCTACATTCTGTGCATAATAATCACTTGTTTGGATCGATAACATGGCCTGTCACATGGAAGTTGGTGGCCTCTTGCTCTTTGACTTCCAACCTCCTCAAGCAAACGAGAATATATAGCTCTAAAATGGAGCAACCTGCATCAACAAATTGAGAATCATGTTGTTTTCAGTAATTTATTCTTGGCAGTGGCCAAGTTGTGGAGAGAAATTCATCACTTCTTCCGTCACAAACAACTTATCAAATTATAGAAAAATTACCAATGAAAAGTAAGATTGGAGAGAAACAAAAAAGAAATTAAAGATCTGTCATAACAGCTTTACATAATTACATCATAGAATCTCAAAAGTTAAACGACTACAAAGAGTTTGAAGAACTACCATAGCAGCTATATAATTACATATGCATTTAACATTTACACTGGAGTTGAGCTATTTAATAAACATTAGTTACACAAAAAATCTAGCATCCTCGTGCCCACACCAATAACCAGAGGTATCAAAAAATGGCACTATCGTCAAACTTTGAAGTTGTTAGCCAAGCAAAAAACTATCAAACTAGTGCCACCACTTATATCCACAAGTTTACCATACTTTTAAAGTTTATCATTGACGAGCATCGACATCATTGTATGGCGCTCAAATTCACCCATACGTAAAACAATTCCATCTTTTTGTCACCATCACAGAGAATCATTGAAGCTTTGATACGTTGCTCTATGGTGTACAACTCAAATACGGGAGATTCAAGGATAGAATATATCTGACCACGAATATTGGATCGGTCACGATCCCCAATCTTTTCAATCAAGGCACCCATTCTTTTGTCTTGACTTTCAGTAAAGTTTTTCATAATTTCCATCATACCTTTGAGAAATGTCTCATTATCATCCTCTACTGTTTTTTTTCTTTTCTTGCTTTTCTCTTTTTCGTTTACATTAGAAGAGGACCTTTTATCATACGCACCTTGTTTATGAGTTTGTTGGGATCCAGGATATTCATTTTCTGATGCTCCGGCACTAGGTCCAGTTGCATTTTCAGCTCCAGTAAATGCGCTAGGTCCAGTGACATTTTCAGCTCCAGGAAATGAACTAGATTCAGTGGCATTTTCAGCTTCAGTAAATGCACTATATCCAGTGGCATTTTCAGCTTCTCCAGTAAATACTTTAGGGCTATGATAAGTGTCAGCTTCTTCGTCTTCATCAATATCGATAGGAAATCCCAAACTCATTACAAACTTTTGGAGCTTGACTCTTTTGAATTTCCTTAGAAGCATCTAGCGGCCCTTCTGCGAACTCTCCGGTTGCTCTATCCTTGCCAAAAATTTCCTCCCAATCCTCAAACATCGGCCATTTCTTAGTATTCATATTTTTGGCTAGTGGATCAATCTAGAAAATAATTAAAAAAATATAGCAATGTCGTATTAGAAAAATACATATATAACGTAACAAAATTTTAATAACTTAAAGCAAAGTATTAGTTACCTTTATAAAGTCATCCCAAAATTTTGGATCGTCTACTATTATAGCTCCATCACTATATTGAAATCCCAAACCACTTCGATTTTTTAGCGAAGCTATACTTCCATAACATCTCTTCCAATATCTTATTTTATTTTTGATATGTGGATCACCTTTCAATCCGCTTTTAGGATGTTGTTTGCGTATGTAGCGCTCTAACTCCATCAAGTGCCCCGGCCTAAAGGTTCCATTATCAGCTCTCCAACCCTTAACACACAACTCTTTCAACCCATCTAAAAGAGTGTGTTCTTCTTTTGGATTCCACATCCTTCTTGTTGAAGGTGTTGAGTTGCTTGGTTTTTTTGACACCTTGTTTGAAGATGTTTGACTATTCATTTTGCCCGTAAAATCTTGTGAAATACATTACCAAGAAAATCAGGAAAAAGAACAAAACATTATAGTAGCTTCAGAAAGATTTCAATATATCATAGATGCATTTTTATACTAATACACTTTACAACGATAGAAGAATGAGCAATTAAGCTCACAAACGTCAACTGATTCAACTAGTCTTCATTATAGATTAAAACATACGACATCAAGAGATGTAGACAGTACATAAGGATGTGCAATTAAGCTCACAAAAAATTAGAAGTGTCTAGTAGCTATACAATTTATACTAGGCTAATTCAAAAGAGCTAATGAAGTCGAAAAAGTTTTATATAGCTAACAGGCTGTATTTTAGACCAATAAGCACTATACAGTGAAGTAGCACATTGCCAATGCTCTCAACTTCCATTTGAAATGGATAATTTTTTTTGTGAAATTGATCAATTGTTAGATCTTGCATTCCACATTGATTGAGCCAACTCATCCCTCCAAGTGGTCCACTCCTGGGACGATTCAACAATATCAATATTTTCATGTTGGTACTCCATTTGTTCTTCCATATCAATGTCTAAGGGATCCACTTCCATCTCTCTGCGGATAAAGTTGTGAATCAAGCAACAAGCACTAATGATCCTGTTATGAACCTTAACTGAGTACCACGAAGAACTTCTAAGAATTCCCCAACGTCCTTTCAGCAGACCAAATGTCCTTTCAATAACATTACGAGCCCTAGCATGTCTCATATTGAAAAGCTCTTCTTTACATCGAGGCAATGGATTGTCACCTTGCCAATCCTTTAACCAATATCTATATCCTCGATAAGGTGAAAGAAAACCTTTTCCGTTCGTATATCCTCCATCGCACAAATAATAATTATCTATAATATAGAAATACAATTTAGTTACTTTCATATCTAATTCTTTTTGTGATGTAACTTGAAAGCATAGACATGGCATACCCTCGTGGATTTTTAAACCATTCCTTCTTGCTACAACATCTCGTAATACACGATCGTCGGCAGCTGAACCTTCCCAACCAGGTAACACATAAGTAAAATTGAGGTTTCTATCACAAACTCCTAATACATTAGTTGCTATCTCTCCCTTCCTTGTCCTGTATCTTGGTTTGTACTGGGATGGAACTCTAATTTGTATATAAATACCATCTAGTGCACCTAAACAACCCTATAAGATGAATTATAGTGTTATCTCAAAATATAAAAAATCTTTGTAAAACTGTAAAAACTGCATTTAGTTTTATACATAAATTAGTAGATGCCAAACTGAATTTTCACCTACCTTAAACCATTTCCATCGATCTTCAATCTCATCCTCAAGCACCGGTTTAGGATCAACAAGTAACAATGGAGTTAGTTTGAGAATAGCACTCAAACATTCATTGAAAGCCTGACTTACGCTCCATCCCGATCTAATATAATCAACCTTGATAGATCTATTCTTCTCATGATGAGCCAAGATATTTAAAAACATTGCTAACTTTTCGCTACTTGACATACTTTTACTATCGGTCAAACGTCCAATATCCTTAGTTAAGAGAACTAAAGTGTGAAAGGCATTTCTATCCATTCTTAATTTATCGATACATACACTATCATTGTCATTTATGATAGAATGTAAGTGAGAAATAATTTTCGGTACTCGAACACTCATACAATATCTAATCTCCCGCCTGTTTCGACATCGTCTTCTTAGAGAATGACCATGACTAGCCATGAAAAGGCAAATAAGGACAACAAGAAATTGCTGGCACATTATCTCCTCAAGGATAATATATTCAGTACTTGATAGTGGTTGAAGATCCATAATAACACCTAATTTTTCCATGAACAATGAAAAGAATGAATACACATAAATTTAATACTATGCTATTTGGTAGAGAAAGAACTGTACCGAACTTGTAAAATTGGGGTAGAAAGAGAAAACAATGAGTAAAGAACAAATCATTTCAAAAGGAAGCTGCAGGAATGAAATTACCAGAAAATAAGAACCAATTTTACAAATTACCTCAAATATNAAAATTACTGAAAATCCTTTTACCTGTACGCGTCACTTTGATCTCTGAAGGGGAAAATGAAGAAGAATAGGATTTGGCTGCATTCAACTGTGCTTTTCCATGGCCAAAGCGGAGGAAATCTGTTTGCTAAAAATATGAGGAAAGGATTTTATTAGGGATTTGAGGGGGGCAATTAGGTCTTTAACCATGTTTATGCAAGCATTAAAAACCCTTGCATTACTAATGTCGTGGTTTCCAATGCATTGCTTATACATAGCATAATACCAAGTATAATGTATAACTAATACAAGTATTAGTTATACATAGGTTGAAAACATATACCAAATAAGGTATTAATAATACACAGAGCTAATGCTTGCATTATTTTTTCTAATACCTCCTACCAAACGACCCCTAAGTCTAGGCAATGCCTAAACTTGTTAAGAGACCCAATCTCTTCAGCTATTCCACCAATCCATCGATCTGGTTCTATACTCGAAATAGCTTCTGAATAGATATTACACTCAAGCACATCAACGGTCTCTGCAACTGACAAAGCAAATCCCACATAATTTGTATATCTGAGAAGATTTTCACCAACTATTTTTTGCCTGTGTGGTCGGTTGATCACTCCTTCTCTCTGCCTATTGCAATGCTATATGGTTTATGTTGCATATATTCATTAATATTATCATCTTGATCAATATTTTGCACCTCTTCCACTTCCTCTACTTCTGAACTACTTGGTTGAGCTAGTGGAGATTCAATTTCTAGCTCTGACACCATGATTTGTTTTTGCTATTGCTTTCTCCCTCTGACTGTCCAGTGAGGCAGATTCCTTAAATGTCAACTGTAACTTTTCACTCCAGTTGCATATCTTAGAAATATGCACTTCTTTGCCCTCGGCTCAAGTTTGCCATCCCACAATGTTCATTTGTGTTGTTTAATCCTTTGGGTTTGATACCTTTTTTCTTTTCTTTTCTGGATTTGCTTGTTATGTAAATTCCAGGTTCTTTGTGTACATGCATGACATCTATGTATACACTCTAAAAAAAAACCATTTCACATGCATCCTCTTGCTCTTCCGCGTAGGTTCGAATTCAGATGTAAAATTAAAACAAAAGTTAACCAACACATGCACCATTATATGTGGACATTTAATTTTGACACTGCAAGCTGCTGGGATATCTGAGAATTTTTCACTTCTTTTTCTCCTTCATAGCACAAAGAGAGGGAGAGAGAGTGAAAGGTTTGTGGAGTTATCGAGATGAGCAGCTTGTGTAGGGGTCTCACAATTAAAGGAATGTTCTTTTGCTTCTATTAAATACTTTCAGATGATGGATGAATTATGCACTTGTATGTATGTATACATACTTCTGCAATATGTCAATCTGTGCCTTCAAAATTTGGGAATTGGATATGGTCTTCTAACCTCTATTTTTGTAAGATGTTATATCTGAGATACAACGTATGAAATGATAAATTGATAATTGCCGAGCATGGTAACTTCAATCTCAGCAGCATTAAGTTGCCAGGTTGTTATATACTTCAATAGATACTTTATATGTTATCCTTTATGGATTAGAAGGAGGACTAATTAGGAACTTAAACCTCATTCATTTACCCCAGTAAATGATGCAATTTCCCTTGTAGATTTCATTAGTTCTCTTACTTTATTTTAACAAACAAGTTGTTTGATCTTTGGATTTAGCTCCCTGCTCCAATTGTTGTTTTTGTACTCAGGAGCTACTCCAAACTTTTTTGTAATTATCTGCATCTTCTTGATGCCATCAATATAAGACCTTACTTCATCAAAAATAAAAATAATAATAAAAAAATTAAACCTCATTCATCATGCTCTACCTTTTTTTAGTGCCACTGCATTTAACAAAAAGCATGGGAAGCAGCTGTCTACAGATGTTCATTATCTAAATTTTAAATCCCTTATTAGTTTTCAATTTGTGTCATAAACTCCAAATCTTAAACCATAATATAGCTAAGATATCTGCTTCTGTGACTTGTATCAAATTAAAGGGGTAACGATGCACATTCACATAAACCGATGCATAAAATTGCACCACTCCATCTTTAGGATACTGTCTCAATAAGGTTTTTAAATCCTATGTGTTACATTTACGCTAATCGTATTTTTGTTATTGTACAACAGTACAAGCAATTCATCACCACCTATATATTGTTAAATAACTAATCTATATAGTACTTTCATTTCAGGTCCCTATAACCTTATTTGGATGTAGTTTCGAGTAAAAATAATTTATCATATCTTAATTAACCTATTGCGGGGATACAGCACTTTAATTCCAAAGCTTCATGATTTCAATAATTGTTTCTCAACTGTATCGTTTGCTTTGTCCGTTAAAAATATGCACTATTTTGTAAAAGTAGAAGTCAAGGAAGGAAAGCAGATCAATAATAATGCTGCAACTCTAAGCTTCTGTTCAAGTAGCTGCAATTGAATATATATATATATATATATATATATATATATATATATATATATATATATATATATATATATATCTTTCTCTTGCTAGAGTTTTCAGAAAGGTCTATCAGTTTATCTTCAATTTTTGGTACATGAATGCCTCCGGCTAGTTGTGCTTCACTGTAGATATTTGTTTCAACTAAAAACCGTGTATCTGGCATTCTTATAGTGCTTTGATTGCTTAAACTTAAGCAGCCTGAAAAGAAGCTGAATGCAATATTGAGTATGAACACCTCTTGTATGTGAAGTGATTGCCATATCAAAGTTTATACCTTTTTCCTTCTTTTAATTGGAAGATAATTTTGTTGCTGTGTAAATTAGACGTCTTGATTCTTTTGTTGATGAGCATACTAAGAGGCATGTGATCTTTGTTGTAGAAGTAGTGCATATTCTGTGTGTTATATAATACTTGCATGTTGAGTTTGTGATATGACTAACCTTACATATTAGAGGTCAAACTTTCATACATCTGCTGACCTTTCTTAATTTATTACTGTATATATACCATGACAGGAGCAAAGGAAGGTCTCTTTCGCCTACGAGCATTTGTATGAAGAAAGGAGTCTCGTACAAAGGGTTGGAAAGAAGGCCTTTTCGTTTGGTTTGAACCAATCTTTCGTCGTTTGCAGTCCTCTTTTTCTTCCTTCTAACACCGCCTATATCCCGAGGAAAAAGAAAATAGAATCTTTCTGTTGATCATCTCTATTTTTGAGGCCTGAGGTAGGACCAGTGGAACCATTTTTATCTACATGAACTTCTTTCCCTCTTAATCCTGCTTACCAATTTGGATAACTCATTTATGCAAGCATCGGTATGGAAAGCTCCAGAATAAATATATCCAACGTATTGCATGTGGACGAAAGACTTGCAGCAGGTGGATAACAACAGCATTCTACAATTTAGTTAGTTTGTTGGACAACAGTGTTTTTTAATTTAATCGTATTCTTGTTACCTCTTTTTTCAGGAAATTCTCATTCTTCTAAAACATTCAACCTGTGAAGAAAGATATCTCATGGAGAGGCAGTGATGGTTTGTTTCGTGGACAATAAATTGCCTCTACTTCAGAAAGCATCATCGTATTAATTTTGTCGAGGATTCAAATTAAAGCAACACTTCCAAGTTGGATTCAGTGGCGAGCTGTTTGCAGAAATGGAAGGACTCTTGCAGTTTAGCTTTTAAACGGGTATGTTGATAACAAGAAATTTTTCACTGTGCTTGGACAAGCTGCAAATGATTTTCATTTAGCACTTGTTGATACTGCTAAGGCAATGTTTGTGGGATAAACCCCTGGTTTCAGCAAGTTGATAGGGAGAGATTATAATGCTTACTATCTTCTTCATTCGAACTTAAAACGTCGGCTTTTCAGTTTGATGAGGAAACTCTGGCTATCTCATTGTACTCTTTCCGTAACATGGGTCTGAAGATAATTTATTTTATGCAGATAGAAGAGAGTGTCTAACAAGTTCAGCTTTCAGATCTGAAAATTAGTTTTATTGTTATTTCTGGTGTTGCTTTGCCTGTGAAAATGTCGAATGTTTGTGTGAGCTAGTATTAGTTGGTGTATATTTCCACGTGTATTCAAAGCACCAAAAAGTTGATAAAATGACCCATCTAGTTAAGTAAAAGAATGATTGAGCTAAGGTCCAATATTTTGGAGAACCAAACCTTTCTCTCAACTTTCTTCTTTATTAAAACAAGAAACGGATTTTGTTCCAATCGCTTAAAAACTGATTTTGATAGCCATTTTATTTGACAAAACAATACTTAATAATTAGGCTATTGTTGCACGTTAGTAACAAGTGTTACCAAATTATGGAGAAGTGTTATCAGAAACCTAAACAATATTGGAGTAATATATATTTTGCAATATCAAAGTAAGGATGTGAGTTCGAGTCATCCCAAGAGCAAGGTAAGGAGTTCTTGGTGGGAAGGATGCCGAGGGTCTATTTTGGAAACAGCCTCTCTACCCATGGTAGGAGTAATATCTGCGTACACACTATCCTCCCCAGACCCCGCTAGTGGGATTATACTGGGTTACTGTTGTTTGTTGTTGTAATATCAAAGTAGCACACATGAGCAAATCTAAAGAAAAGGTACACTTTTTAACTCTATTTATTATGCTTATTCTTTTGGTCCGGTTCTTGTACTTATACTTTATTTTAAACAGTACAATTAAAGCTCTGTGATTTGAAAATCACGAGTTTCAAATTCAAAATTCGGCGGCAGAAATATTATGTAATTTCTTCTCATCGGTCTGCATGATTATTAAAAAACAATGATAGAGCAACTTAGAAATTGACAATGAAATGTATATAATATTACATCTGCTGTTATTAGGAGGGGAAATAATTCTATTTTTGAATTAGTAAAATATATAGATCCCCAAATGTGTAGTACCAAAAATGGGACAAGCTGAAGGGGTTCGTACGTCGTAGGTAACGTATTATTCGAGAAGTTTTTTACTTTTCCTCCAGTAGGCGTTTCGATGCTTTTTCACAGTTATCAAATTTTCTCGTTCTCCACTTCTTACTCCGATGAATACTCGGGCGGATGCCGCCACCGCCACCGCCGGCAGTGCTACGCCATCATTGGCCACGCAATTAGTCAAAGCAGAACAGAAACAGTCGGAATTGCAACAATCTTCAACACATTTTACACATTCGGTTCCCATTGCGAATCTCCGCAAACTCTCCGACGCGCTCTCCGGTTTCCAACGATGTTTCGGTGAGTTACAACGGCACATCGATACCATCCGAACCTCAATAGACTCCTCTTTGCTACTACTACTGCCGCGAAACAATGAACATTCCACTACTACCACTCCGCCGGCACCGCCATTCCTAGAGCCAGAACCATATGAACTCTCTGAAGAGGAAGAGGAAGAGGAAGAGAAAGAGAAACTGAAATCCCCTCCTCGTGCAGAGCCAAAATCGTTTCGTTTAGAGCTGAAATTTCCTCCTCCTTCAGTGGTGGAAATCCTGTGCGAAACAATGAACAGTAACGGTCTGCAGAAGTACATGATAAGGCATCTCTCAAATATAAAAACACTGAAACGAAGAGTTCCAAAGGCATTGAAACTCTCGCCTAATCCTGCAAGGCTGATATTGGAATGCATCGGCGATTTTTATTCTCAAGGGAGCGACACTTATGTCCAAGGCTCATCTGAAAGGCAGGTTAAAGTATTGCTTTTGGAGTGCTTCTTGAATATGATGGGAGAGTCCGTAATTAAGAATGAGGTGAAGGAAGAGGCAGAACAAGCAGCTTTAACATGGATTAAGAGGTTGAATTTCAAAGGAGGTATACTACAGGCTCAGGAAATTGAATGTCGGGGTTTGCTGTTGCTTATTGGGTGTTTCGGGATTCCACAAGCATTTACAAATAAAGATATCAAGGATTTGCTGCACCAAAGTTACATCAAGATGATTTCTGCTTCCCTTAGGAGATCAGGTTTTCTCATGGCAAAGATTCCAGAAATAATAGAGGGTATGTTGAAACAAAATAGGGTAGTTGAAGCCGTTCATTTTGTCTATTGTTTTGGACTTGAGGAAAGGTTTAACCCTCGTAGACTGTTAACATCATTTTTACAAGAGTCTGAAGTGTCATTATTGGACACAATTAAGAGTTATGAAGAAATGAAGGGATCACAAGATTCAGTTGTTGTTGCTAAGAGTATTGGTGTAAGGAGGTACGTGGCTGGTTTGAGATCTGTCATCCAATGTTTGGGACGTCACAATATTGATCATTCCAAATTTCTTCCAGGGTGGCAATTTGGAATGAAAATAACACGCTTGGAGAGAGAAATTGCTCAATTGAGGAAGAGGATGAAAATTGATCGAGAGGTGGCACGAAAGAGAAAAATTGATGAAGCTAAGTGGTTAGGCAACAAAGAAGTGAAGCACTCACACTTTCCAAATCCATGTCTGCCACAACATCGTCGAGTTGCTAATCATGTTGATGATAGCAACAACACCTTGTTAGAAGGTGGTGGGACTGCTGACCACATTTATGGTCATTCTCTGTACCCTCCGGTATTGCATGGACCTGTTACAGGTTCGATTCATGAAAATGTTGTTGGCTCGCTGGCAGGACCTGGAGCAGGTATATCAGCAAGTGCTGATGGTATTCATGCAGGTATATCAGCAGGCACGGATGTTGTTATGCAAGGAGTTTCATATGCTGGTGGTCATGAAGGAAGTCAAGTTAATTGTACAACCGGGCAAATGGGAAGTCATGCTGGTCAGTTATATGGATCACGCGGTGATGCAGCCGTATATGACAGACTGCCTTCCCACAGCTATGCTTATAGGCCATCATCCTACTTGGAATGCTCAGGCTCTATGGGGTTGCCAAACACCATACTTGGTGATGCTTATCGGCCTCCACCATACTTGGAATGCTCTATGGGGTTGCCAAACACCATACTTGGTGATGCTTATCGGCCTCCACCATACTTGGAATGCTCTATGGGGTTGCCAAACACCATACTTGGTGATGCTTATCGGCCTCCACCATACTTGGAATGCTCTATGGGGTTGCCAAGCACCATAACTGGTGATGTGTTTAGGCCTCGACCATACCAGCACCATACATAGTGATGTTAATAGGGCACTACCATGCTTAGAAGGCTCTGTGGGGTTGCCAAACACCATAACCGGCGGTGCATTTAGGCCTCCACCATACTTGGGAGGCTCTACGGGGTTGCCAAACACCATACCTACACCATATCGGTTTGTTGATACTGTTCCAGCAACTGAACTATACTGAAGCAGTAGCTCACAAGCAGTTGATGCTGTTGCATCTATTGCGCTTGTTCATCCTTCATCCTCCATGTACTGGCAGAGATAGTTTTGAGTCTTTAACAATGTCTTATCATGCATGTGGATGTGCAATTTGATACATGCGTGTGGATGTGCAAGGTGTGTATAAGTAGATAGAAACCTCCATAATCTAATCATAAGAATCAACAATAATAGAAGCAGGCATGGCAAGCCTTTTCCTCCTCTTGTCCTCTATAATTTGTTAATTTTTAAAAATGAACTGCTTCAGATGTTTGAATCATTTTTCAATAAAGTTTCTTGTCATTTTCTTATGATTGCCATTTGGTTTACTTGAAGTGAAAGTAGTTAGGATTCTCTTCTATTTAATAATCCTTTCCACGGGATTAACCTCCTAAATGTAAGTTACATTGTTTCCTTTGCATTGCCATAAATATAAGACATTTCAAACATTTACATATTAGACACGTTCTCTTGGAGAGTGGATTTCATGAAATTAAGTTCTCTGAGTTGCTTTCAGCAAGCACGTGACCGTGTGAAAATCCCTAGAATTTCTAATTATGATAGGAAACTGGAAGGAGAATAGAAAAACTATCATCCACATCTGTAGTGCTACACAATTATGGTGAAACTCCTACAACAACATGCACCAATAGATGAGATTATTGGGGAGTTGAGCCTCCTTTGCTCGTAGGCCCGCTATAAGTCCAATAAATCAGGAGGAAGGTGATTGGATTCTTTTGTTAGAGCTGACTCTAATATGGCTCTAATCGTAATATTGACTCTATCATGATACCTCCCTCTAGTGCAATAGCAATCGAGAATGGAGGTGACCTTGCTACACTTGGCCGCCCCCACCCTGATCCACAAAAGAAAAAACAAGACAGGAAAAAATAAAGGCAGAAAAAGAGATAGGAAAGGAATAACGCCAAATCGTACAAGTGAAGGAGATGGTCATGGAACTGGCTCTGTTTTTAGTTGTTTTTAACTATATCCTGAGTTTCTAATGACGGCCTCTGTATCTGTGTTTTTATGTTTGTTTTGCATCTGATGACCTTTCGCCGGTGTGATATTCCTCAACCTCTGCATGAAGTCTGTGCTATTGATTTGATAATATTTTGATCTTATGTTTAAATGTCTTAAGAGTGCCTTTATTTCCCTCTTCTTTTTTCTTTTGTTGATCTTGTGAGAACGCCTCATATCAAAATTTGGCTTTCGTTTTATAGTGTAACTTATCAGCTTTGTGGGCTTGACTTTGTACTATAGATTACTATAATCTTTTTAGGTGACTGCACGGTGATGTATAGTAACTGAGTTGTGAATGATAGGACATAGGGTCCCTAAAGCCTTTTGAATTTACAAATTCGGCAAGTTATATTTTAAAAGCTTATAGTTCAATAAACCTATGGATGTATAACAAACAGAAGCAACAAGCAGGGTCCAGTTTGTACTAGTAAATCTGACATTTCAATACTGTACTGGCCACACATTCTACAACATCCGGGTCCAGTTTGGAAGATACAACAGAATGCTAGTAAGCCAGACACTGTATCGATCTCCTACTTTGACAATTACGAGGAATGCTATTCAGTATCAGTAAGACTAGAAAAACTATTTAGATCTTCATTTCACTTCCTCGTTCTTATAGGTTAAGTCCAATACACAAATTGATTTAATGTTGCTTACTCCCGTCCACAATAAGTTACCATTTTACCATTTTATTTTGGTCCAAAATGAGTTCCATTTACATAATCAAGAAGGAATTAATTTTATTTTTTCAAAATTTACCCTTATTTACATATTTCAATGTGTCAAGGTAACAATTAATTACGGTTAATTTAGTGAATATATCTTCTTTTTCTTTAGGAGTTTGTATTTCCTTAATGGATACGCCAAAGGTAAAGTGATTATTTATTGTGGATCGAAGGGAGTATCTACAAAATGGATAAAATGGTCACTTTTTGTCTTTCTTATGCTTGCAACGCAAAATAATCATCCATCCCTTTGTTCAATAACCTATTAAGAAAATTCTTCGTTCACTCGTGAGGATATAAAATAATCGTTAGTTACTCAGACATAATGGTAAGCTTCGCCGTACTTTATCCCCCCCCCCCCCCCCCCCCCCGGCTCTCTCTCTAATCCTCTTTCTACCAATTTCACGAGGAAAATGTTCTTAGAAGGACAAAATCAAATATGGCGATGTAGTCAATCCTTTGAACGTTTAAAGATTGTATTATGGGGGATATTATATTTGTCGATGGCCATTATTGGACCTTCTTTATTCACTTCTTTACTATTGTGATGGTGCTTATCTGAGCTGAGGTCTATTGGAAATAACTTCTTTATCTACATAAAGTATGGGTAAGGTCTGGGTACATTTTACCCTTCTCAAACCTCAATTGTAAAATTTACCAGGCATGTTGTTATTGTTGTTGTTGTTGTTGTTATAATAGTAATACTTCTAGCGCAAACAACTGAAAGTAACCATTTCTTTATTCATTTACTTGTTAAGAAAATACTTTCATCACTTTAATGCTTCATTTACTCACGAGGATGTATATGACATAGTGGTTACTGTCATAGGGGTGATTTATGTCACTCGAATTCACACTTAGAATAATTTTTAGGAACGTTTTGGACTTAGAACGATCTAGGCAGCAAGTAAAGTAAGTAAAGGCACACACAATTTATAAGAATTTCTTCCCAACTTGTATTAATTTATGAATACAAGAACACAATAAGCCAACCTATGGCCAAGAACAAAGAACACCCTAGTTCCCTGCCCCAAAAATGATTTCCTACCCTTAGGAATACACTTAGACGAAATTGGCTAACACTTGCCACAAGACTAAGTTTTTTCTGCCTCTTTGGGACAACTTATGCACATATTTATAGTGCTGCTGCCTAATTACACTTGGCAGGATTTAGACAATCAGTTGACAAGCTCCAACTGATGGACAAACATGCTAAGACAAAATACAAAAACGTGCCCGCACTTTTAGCCCATGATCAGCCATGTTTTGGATGTGGTTGTAACCGCCAACTGCCTCTCATGTGCCTTGCACACGTTTTGTAACTGCTACCTGTGCACTGCATGTGCCTGTTTTGCCCAGCTGCTGCGTGCCCAAGGCTGGTATTGCGCCAAGCCTTGCCTTTTGACACTGCTCCGCATCAATGTCATGTCCACAGCTTGCCGCCCACTGACTTAGCCACACACGCTCATTGCCATAGCTGCCCGCTTATGTCAAGCTACCCTCAACTTAATCTAATCTTCCCGCATCAATTGTCATTGCTTGTCCTACATTGCCTTGCCTTGCCTTGTTTTGCCATGTCTTGGCCCCTGCTTTGACATGGTTTTGCCTTGCCATTGTTATACCAACCCGCACGTCCAAGTGAAATGCGCCTTGCCTCCGTTCAAGGTGCGTTTGTCAACCCCGCATAGTCCGTCATGATGTTGCCCCATTTTTCAGGTTGTGTGCCAAGGCCATTATGAAAATCCTTGTCACAACCCACACCTGTCGAGGAACCTTGTCAAGGGGCTAACAAACCACCCTCATCCGAAGAATTCATCGTCCTTGACGAAGCAGTTTCCACATTTTTCAGCACCAACATAGGCCCTAAATATGCTGCATGTCGCTCATGTTCTTCCTCGTTCGGCTCATCTTCACCCTTTTCTTCAGCAAACAAAGTAGAAAGCCGTTCAAGTTTTGGACAGTCCCTCGCCATGTATGGTCCTTTGCAAATAAAACAACCATCAAACTTGTTGTTTTGTCCCTTCTTTGTCAAAGGTCCAACACATAGCTTTTCATTTCCATTGCCATTGCCCTCAACAACATTACCCTTGTCGTTTCCGTTTTCCTTCACTCTTTTGCCTTGTCCTTGTTCTCGTTTTTGGACTTTGAAGTAGTAGAGAAATCAGAACCATCTTGTCCCAGCCGAAAATCACCCAACACATCCGCAACAACGATGGCACTAGGAAGGTCTTTCACGTTCTGCCTTCGTAATTCCATCTACGCCCACGACTGCAACCCGTAAAGGAAATTGTGCAGCTTGTCTTCCTCAGACATATTGCTTATATCCAGCATCAAAGAACTGAAATCTTTGACATAATCCCTAACCGTTCCAGTTTGTTTCAACTTCTTCAAACGATCTCTAGCAATCCAGCCCGCATTGCTAGGAACGAATTGATCCTTCAACTCTTTTTTCAGCCCTTCCCAAGAGTTAATTTTCGGCCTACCAGCACTTACATCATCTGCCACACGCGTCCGCCACTAAAGCTTTGCATCGTCCACCAAGTACATAGTCGTAATGGTGACCTTGTCTTCATCTCGCACATGGGCAGCCTGAAAGTACTGCTCCATATCCCACATGAAATTTTCGAGTTTCTTGGCACTCCTTGCACCATTAAAATCTTTAGGCTCCGGAATTTTGACCTTGGTACTATTTTCTCACGCTGTACTTCATCATTGCCAACAGCACGACGCAACAACACATTTTTCCACTTTCAGATATGTGCACTCTTCGCTCAACCTGTTCATTTCGGCCTCAAGATAGGCGAGAGGAGTCACAATGGTCAGAAATTGATCCCATCAACAGTTCCGATGAGTGCCTCCAATGCAATAACCTTTTCTTCTGTTCTGCGTTGCCACCAGCCATCCTTCACAAAATTCAACCAATGAACGTCGTGTCTTCGTCCCGATCCAGCCACACTCTGATACCAGTTGTCACAGGGGTGATTTATGTCACTCGAATTCTGCCCGAGGTTCACTCTTGTGCGGCAGTCAAGCCCAGCCTTGACTTCAACCTTCCAACACTTAGAATAGTTTTTAGGAACATTTTGGACTTAGAACGATTTAGGCAGCAAGTAAAGTAAGTAAAAGCACACACAATTTACAGGAATTTCTTCCCAACTTGTATTAATTTGTGAATACAAGAACAATAAGCCAACCCTATGGCCAAGAACAAAGAACACCCAAGTTCCCTGCCCCAAAAATGATTTTTCCTACCCTTAGGAATACACTTAGACGAAATTGGCTAACACTTGCCACAAGACTACTTTTTCCTGCCTCTTTGGGACAACTTATGCACATATTTATAGTGTTGCTGCCCAATTACACTTGGCAGGATTTAGACAATCAGTTGACAAGCCCCAACTGATGGGCAAACATGCTAAGACAAATGCAAAAACGTGCCCACACTTTTAGCTCATGATCATCTATGTTTTG